GAGTAACCTTTTAACTGTAGTTTTTAACTCTATATCCAGTAGTTTGCTTTCTTCCATTTCTTTCATTTGTGACATGTTTCTTTGTCTCTGCATTTTGGCTGCTTCCCTGTGTTTGTTTCTATGTACTGGGTAGTTGCTAAGTCTCCTTGAGTTGATAGAGTGGTTTTGTGTAGGTGTCCTATGGGGCCCAGTGGCTCAGCCTCCCCAGTTACCTGAGGTGGACATTCTTGGTGCACCCCTTTGTGGGCTGTGTGCACGGTTCTGTCATAGTTGAGCCTTGCTTGAGGTTGGTGTCACTGGGAAGAATTGACCTCCAGGCCAATTGGCTGTGGGAACCAGCTGCAACTATAGGGGGAGAGCTGCTGTGCAGGAGACACTCTTATGGAGCAGGACTTGCTTCAGTGGGGCTTTGGTGCTCACTGAATCTGCCCCTTGAGTCTCCAGGGAGGTGCAGAGTCAGCCACTACCTGGGCTACAGAGAGATCTGCAGATTCCTCCTCTTTGTATCAAGTTTGGAAGTGCCCAGATGAGGCCCAGCTGTGAAGCAAGGCAAGCTAGTGCTGGTGCTGGGTCTTGGATCTTTTATTGATAGGTTTGGGGCTCCCTGATCCAGCTGCAGCTTGTTTGACAGATATTTAGCCTGAGAAAAGGACAGGCCATTCATATGCAAGAGCTGCTGCACACAGCTTGAGTGGGGTTGTAAATTGGGTGGGGAAGTCTCAGGGAATCACCAGGGCAGAGCAAGCAGAAATGGCTGCTAGTCAGTCCTGCACCAGGAGGTCCCAGCACAGGAAAAATGACTGCTGGAAGCACCTCCATCTAGAAGAAAGCCGCCCCCGAGTTCCTGCCCCAAAGCCAGACAGTCCAGTTTCTCCCCATATGTGTCTGGGTCCCTCAGAGCCTCGCCTGGCCCTGGAGCTCAGAGGAAGTGGGAGCTTGTAAATTCAGTTTGTGGGGCTGGCCTTTTAAGAGGAGCAGCTGGGATTCCAGCAGCCTGTGTGTCACCCAGTCCCAATCAGCACTGGATTTTAGAATCTGTAGTTCTTACTGCCCATAGGGACTTCTTTCCCCAGCTCTGGAACTGTGGTCTGGGGGTCTGGTGTGGGGCTGGGACCCCTCGCTCCTCCAGGTGGCCTCCGCAGAGGCGATCTCCCCCCCGATTAAAAAAGCGGCACACCCGGGTGCCAGATCAGCCAGTTCTGCGCCTCTGCACCTCCTACCAATCTCATTGTGCTTTCTTTTTTACTTCTCTAGCTGTAGTACTTCCATTCAGCCAGCTTTCCGGGGGTTCTGGATGATAGTTGTTCTGTATTTTAGTTGTAATTTTGATGTGGTTGTGTACAGGCATTTACCTATGCTGCCATCTTGGTTCTCCCTCAAACACCCTTTTTTGATAAAAACTCTCAGCAACGTGGGAATAGAGAGATCATACCTCAAAATAATAAAACCCTTATATGACAAACCTATAGTCAACATTATACTTAATGGTCAAATACTAAAACCATCTCCCCTAAGAACAGGAACAAGACAGGGTAAAATATTCAAAAGATTCGAAAAACCAAAACATACCACTCTTCACTATTTTTTGTTTGGAAATATTATTTTTCATTAAAAATATTGTTGATGTTAATATGTAATGGGTTAGTTATTTTTTTAAAAATTAATAAATTATGTTAAATTTCTCAGTTTTAATTTCTAATAGGGCACATATTGCTAAATAAAACCCAGTTGCTAAATTAAAACTCAGTTTTAATTTCTAATAGGGTACATATCTTACCTAATAATAGACAAACCCATAAATTGACCATACCTTCGCTACGCTAACCAGCCAATCAGGAGAGTATGCAAATTAACCTAACAAAGATGGCGGTTAATTTGCATACATAGGCTCCAAGCGGTGGATCGAAACCTGACAGCCCTGGGACCCACGGAGCAGCGAAAGCCTCACGGCTCTGGGACCGGTGGAGCAGCGAAAGCCTCAGGGCCGCGGGGCCCGCGGAGCATCGAAGCCTCATGGCTCCGGGGCCGGCTCCAGCTGGAGCCCGGCCAGAGCGAAGGCCTGGGTGCCGGGTGCCGGATGAAAACCAGTGCCAGCAGCCAGGGGAAAGGAAGGCCTATTGCACGAATCTCTTCGTGCAACAGGCCTCTAGTTGCTAAATAAACAAGAACTTCTGGGGGTCCTCAGTTTGAGAAGCACTGCTGTCAATCTAGCATCACTGATCTTCAGTGAGCTCCTCTAGGTTGGCTGACCATACCTTAAGGAAGGGATCTTGCCATCTACACTGGTACCCTCAACCTGCCGTCTGCAGCCTACTGCTGGTCCATAAACTATTCCTGATTCATAATAAGCTAAGTACCGAAATCGAGGGCAAACTTTTAGAAACATTTGCAACAATTTTACATTGCTACTCAACCAACCACATATGGGCTTATATTTTATAAGTCCTTGGTTTTTTTTTTCATTTCATTTTTCTAGTTGTTCATTTTTATGGTATTTTACAAAAGTGTCAGTCTGCAACACTTTGGAAATATTTAGAAGTGGTACTTCACAGATATATTGTGAAACATCCTATATAATAAAAGAGAAACATGCAAATTAACCATCCCTCTGCTACGCTTACCAGCCAATCAGAGTGAGTATGCAAATTAACCTGAGAAAGATGGCAGGTTAATTTGCATACACAGGCACCAGGCAGCCAGGGGCGGGGCAGGTTCTTCCCCTGCATCGACATGGCGCCAGGGAGCCGGGGGCAAGGTGGCGTGTGCGGACACCAGGGAGCCTGGGTTGGGGCGGGAGCTTCCCCTGTGTCGCCATGGTGATATGGAGAAACTCCCACCTGGCAGGCGCGCGCATGCAGGCACCGGGGAGACGGGGTCGGGTCGGCAGCTTCCCCCGCATCACCATGGTGACGCTGGGGAAGTTCTTGCCCTGCGGCTGCTTGCGCATGCGCAGGCCCC